ACAGCAAGGATTTATTTATGTCAGGAAAGACAAGGTCAACAAAATGCACCATGCTTACACAGAAAGACAGAGATTGGCACTGAACCCCAGGACCAATGTATTCCACTCCACAGAGATGGGAGCCCTAGAGAGTGCACACTTTCCTGCAAAGCCTGGCTTAGTTCTGTGGTGACACTGTGGCATCACCAAAATCCATCTCGGAATCAAAAAACTTGTCTGAACCTTAAAAATCCTGATCTAAATAGGGAAGACACTTGCTCTCCATTTCAAGGCAAAACGATGTATAGTAATTAGTACAGGCATCATCTCCAGGAGTTTACCTTTGAATTCAAAGTTAGAAATATAGGAAAAAAAATACTCTATTTTTTTGAGAAATTCGCTCATATACTGGGGTATAATAAAAATTGGTGAACTTTCAGTGTATTTTCTGTTACCAGTGGAACATTAAACAAGCAGCACTTCAGAATGCAAGCTTCATGTCCAGCCCCTTAGTTAGGCTATCTAAAACTGAGGTTTAGCAGAGTACTGTTTTCTCAAACCTGAACTACAGTATTATAAACACATTTAAACCAGTCTTTCAAACAAGGTAGGCCAATCTTTCTTGTGAATCTCTGTCTTTCTCCCACTCATAGCACATTTGTAAATGGGCTGTTGATAAAAGCCACAAAATACAAACTCAGTCTGTCCAGCTTAATACTTAACTCCATGGGTTTACACCAAGTATGTTTGTTATCTGTTTCTTCCCTTCAATGCTTGGTATCTAAATAATTTAGAAATACTTCTGGTTGGTAAATAACAATTCCAGTGCCAAATGTTAGTACAAGGTACTGGAGCAGCTGTAACTGTGCTAAGAGTCCACATGGATAGGAATGAATGTCCTCTCTTACTACAGAGCAAATAACCTATACTATGTATTTATTACTGCAGAAACACATGCTGCCACAAAAAGGGAAAAAAAACAGACAACAAAATTTGTTATCATCAAAGTCTCATATTAATTCCTGCCAACTGTAGTCATAAGTACTACAGAATAGCTGATGCTGTGGTACTGTAGAGCAGTTAACATTTCACACAGAGTAAGAATGCCTTCTAGGAAGAAAACATTAGCAATTATTGGTATCTTGCAAAATAGCAGATGTCCAAATTTAATCAACCCTGTCACCTCTGCATCCACATGGACTGAAATGGGTTTATGTGTAAGAATTTGCCACAAGAGGTGATACAGTCAACAGTATCTCAGCTCAGCATTCTTTAGATAGTCTTAGAGAAACCACAAGTTTAATGACATTTTGTCTGGTTTTGTTTCAACTCAATACACAGCTTAGTCCACCAGGGTCCAATTTATAACCAGGTTCCACCAGACCTGAATTAATAAGCTGTTTAACCACACACCAACAGGGTCTAACAATGTTTAGTTCTGAGGAATATTTATTACTCTGTCAACTATGTGATAAAAATCAGTAACAGAATTTGCCCAGTTGACCATCAAATATTTCTAATCATTTTCCCCTTTGTGAAAACACACACAAATTTGAATCCTGTGCTGTTTGAATGCTGCTGTTACAAAAAAGTCATGGTTAAAAATACAAAAACTTGCAATGAAAATTTCAGCCAGCAATTATTTTCCAGTAAGATTTTCATGAAGCTCTTCTTGCCAAGCACCAGAGCTTACTTTTGTTATTTTAATAGAACAAGAATTCAAAAAACTCCCCAAACAACAACAACAAAACCAACCAAATAAACAACCCCCCCAACAACAAAACCAAACAGACAAAAACCAAACAAAATTTAAAAATAACAAACAAACAAAACCAAAACAACCCACCCACATCCTTACATTACTACTCTTAAAGAGTATATGCACTTCGTTAGGGTTTGGGTTTTTTCAGTTAGGCAATGTGCACAAGAAGCTTTGAAAACAATCCAAAACAGAGCCTCCGAAGACAAGAGGCAAAGTATTTTTTTTTCAAATGCAGAAGCAATCTTGTTGAAAGAACTGTACCAACCACCATAGAACTGGGACTCTCCCATCCTTGCACTTTTCATGCATCCAAGTCAGTGACTTCGAAGAGCTCAGATCTTCCTCTTTAGGCCGGCATCACAGCTACTTTTACATGAGAATGTTGGTCAATCACACACACAAAAATATAGAAACTCAGGGTACACGTGGACTCTTCAGACCAGCTACCCTTCAGGACATATTTCTGAAGTAATTAAAATGAAATGATCATAGCTTTAAAATGCTGGTTCTACTGAAAGTCCAGAGCACGCACCTCAGAAGACTGAGGTTTTACATTTTCCTACTATTAAGCTGAGCAAACATGAGTTTGATCTATACTTATGCCCCCACGTGAAGACAGAAATGTTTCAAGCATTTAACTCCAAGACAAAATTTCAAGAATGAAATGAAAATGATTATGTATTCAAATGTATTAAAACCGAACACTGTATTTATTTTATTGTTTTTACATTTTCCAAAAATCCATTTCAATTAACATCAGCACTTGCAATGAGTATGCTGCCAGGAACGTCACGACTTGCATCCAATTATCTGTGCATGCCATCATTATGGCTTTCATGTACTTCAAAAAGAAGACTAAAAGCATGATTGAAGAGGTTGTTAATATTTTACATGAAGGTTCTTTTCTTTTAGTTCATCTGGCTGAACAAAAGCTCATTTTGTTGATCCATCAGTTTTCTGATTAGTTTGATGAATGAAGCATTGACTTATGTCGGCATACTTCTATATGGTATAACATAACAGCATTCATTTGACAATCAATCAAAGACAATGACATATTTAGAAAGATATAATTTAGTTTTGCTTATCAGTTTTTTTAGCAAGAGCAAATCTCAAGCTCCTGAAAATGAAATATTGCAACATAAAATGATAGAAATGTCTTGTTTTGATTTAGTTTAACTTGACTGCCTAAACACACTTCAAATTATTTATTTCCAGATGGTACTAAAGGCTATAAATTACTTCTTCTTTTCACTTGCAGTGTAAATAAACTGAAGGTCAAAACTAGTTTTAACTTTATTATCTCTTCAAGTAGTAAGGTGGGTTTTTTCAAAGCTTATACCAAAAATAGCTCTTTTTTTTCCCAGATACTATGTGGCACTGATCAACATCATATAGTTACTTTTAGCTTTTAATTAATTTAATTAGTATTAAAAACTATCACCACTATAAAATAAAGCACAAATTATGAAAGAAATCTTAGACCCTTACAAAGACCCTTAAGGTTAGTAAGTTTATTGTATTGTAATACCTACACTGTTTTGATGAAACAAAAATATATACAAAGCCCTTTTAAGATATGTAAGAAAGATTACTAGAGAAATAATTATATGGTATGAAATTACATTAATCCATTACTCTTACACACATGCCCATAACTAAGTAATTGTCTTAGAACTTGTCTCCATTGATTTCAACATCACAATGTTAAGATCTAGAAATAAAAAATGCATGACTATTCTGTTGCTCTAACATGTTCAGATTTAAATGAGAGTTTTCCCCAACAAAACAGTTTTGAAAGAACAATCCTCACACTGCATACAGGCTGAACAAAATATCCAAAAGGAGAAACAGCACTGCCCTCTTGCAACTGGGGGACACTTTTGTCACAGACATTCAGCTGGAAATATCAAATAAAGCTTTCTCTAATCCTCTCAAATAAGATTTAAAAAAATATATTTTAATACAAGATCACGGTGAAGATTAGCAACTGTTTATTCTGCAGTTAGAATATTTCTGTTAGAGAAAAGCAAAGGTTCCATAAATCTCAGTCAATTTCTTATGGTGTTTTATGGTCATTTTGTGCAAAATCTGTGAGGTTTAGGTGTCACATACTTAAGCCTGCACAGATCCACAAGAAAAATTCAACTGAATGCACTCTGTGAGAATCCAACACATAGTGCAGTGAAAAAACAGCAGGAGCCCAACTCTACTTGCATGGGACCCTGGATATTCCAAGAGCTGAAGGGTTCTAGCTGTCTGATTTCTCCTACTGCAATTACAGTAGTCAAGTCTGATAAACCTCTGATAAACCTCATTGCTCCTGCTCTCTTCGACTTACAGAGTGCTCGGAATCCTGCTTATCCTCATGTTAAAAAACTGAGTCCAATTCTGCAAAGAGCTACAGCTACACTTTTAAGAAGCATACAGATACATGGCACTCTTTGATCTCCTGGATTTCAGTACTGCCAACAGAGTAAAAATTTTAACTCTAAACCTTTAAAATTTGTGTGAACTTGATGGGATTTTGTTGGAGTGGCATTTTTTTTGGTTGACTGTTTCTTTAATTGTCCCCAAATTCACTGACTTCCAGATGAAGAACATGGTGTTTGGCTCCCTTGACAGTCAAAGCCACATCACAGTTAAACTATACACAAAGCTTTGTGCAGGAGAGACTACTACATTTCAGCTGATGTCAGCTCAGTTATATACTCTTCAAATGAAGGAAAAACATGGGTATTTGGAATTTATTTTTAAACTTGCTCGCAACCAAATGCAACTGCAAAATTCCACATCCATGTAAGAGAAAACAAAGCTTCTGAACATACTCAGAATTAACTTTCATCACCTACAAGTGCTGTTACTTTACACACACAGTCAGCAGTGGAATAATGCAAAGTCTAGGTTAAGTAGCTGTTGCTCAGCTAGGAGTCAAAACAGTAGCATACGGGTTTATTTGAGAGTACTCAGACTCACGTCCCTATAATTATTAGTACTGAAGAGTTTGAGTTATTTTTCCCTTCAGCAGCTCCTCTACTAAATGAAGTCAATGTTTGCAATTGAGACACTGCTTGTCCTTCAGTCACAGCATAATGCAGTCTAGGCAATAAATTATTTCCTACTGTGTGCTTTGCAATTACAATTCCTCACCGATACCGTAACTCAAGAGGGTAATAAAAAATAATCAGTATTTATCTAGTGCCTGTGGATTAAAAACTTTCTAACACTCCTGAAACAAAACAAAAGTTATGAAACATACCCAGACAAGGAGCAACAGATTTCTTTTCACTGTTCCACAGTATCCCAGCATTCCAACTATGATGAGGAAACAGCAGACTGCAATCATAACTGGGTGGACCACAGGAAAGTAAGTCAAAATGACAGCCTCCTCCACCCTAAAAACCAATCAGAACAATAATCAAAACAAGCACAATCACAAAAAATTATATAAAAGAAAAAAATACAGCCATTAAGAATAAAATGGTGATTAGCAGATGCATTTTTTCCAGCACCTTACATATTTCACAAAAAGCTCTTCAACATGGTTTTAAAGTCTAACACTGCATTTGGGTACCAAAAACTGCATTGTCCAAAACCTCTCTGGAGCAAAGGTAATCTTCCTGTCCTGCACTTGCACAGTATGCGGCACAATGAGGCCCTGTTTCATCACCAGGGCTCGTAAGCACTGCTGTAATAAAATTAATAGAATTTCTAAATCCCTGGACTGAATAAAGTATTCAAAAGTAATAGTAATATAATTTGATTACATGTTGTCAACAGAGCAAAAATTGATCCCTGTCAGAAGAGAAAGGCACATGATTGAAACCCTACCTTTCCCCTTTTTCTAATTTCAACTGGTGCCTGAAACTGGGGCAAAAAATGCACCTTCCAATACATCAATGTTCAGTTTAACTGAAAGATTCTCAATTCTACAAGTCCTAATTAAGAAGCTTACCACAAAAAATGAACAACATCTACCCTAATCAGTAACCCACACAGATTAGCAGTTTAACTAAAGCTTTACCTTGTTTCTGCAGTTAAAGTGAGAACGTTATTCAGGTAGTCTCTCAGCCAAGCAGAAACCCCTAATATGCTGATGGACATCAACTAAAAAGAAAACATTAAGTTATTTATCATGTGTTTAACACAAATTACAAGATCATTCATAATTTAAGTAGAGGATCAATCATCACTAACATCTTTCATGCATTCATTTATTTGAACAACATACTGTCCCCAAAACTGTACTTCTATATGCTTAGAATTGGTTTGCTGCCCAAGTATTAGGGTGCCAGTGACAATAATCTTTTCCACAAAGTGATGCTACTGCTGGCTCCTCTCCCACCACTGCACAACATACCATAGAAACAACAGGGAGTGCTTACACTGCTAAAATCAGTGACTCTTCAGGGCTAACAAGTGATACACATCACTCTGCAGGAAACCATGAAGCCATGCCCAGGTACACAGCTAGTGAAGAAAAACCTGATACAACAGTCTTGATACACTGACACTCAAGAGAGGAGATTTATCTTGGGTTAAATTTAGAAGAATCTGATTCTCTTGCTCATTCTGACACAGTCACACCATGAACACTACATCTCAGTTTCCTGAGCCATAAAATGAAAATAAAACTAACTGCATTTCAATTTTAAACCATATAAAGCATTTGGGTATCTTACATGTCAGACACTTCAGAAGCATAAAGCCACTACACTTCCACCAGGACCACTCCCATAGCAAGTAAATCCCCAAGACTGAGCTAGAACTCCCCACCTAGAATTGCCACCACCTCAGCAGACATGGATTTCTGTCACCAGATGCTATCGTACACTTCAGCACACCAGGAGAAGCTCTGCCCTCTGATTTTCCTGAGAAGCCAAATCTGAAGAACACATTCAGAACCTTCTACACTGTGACAGCACCATCTCTGCCACTGCTGCAGCAGAGGACAAGGCTCTAGCTCCTTACACACTTTCACAGGAGTACCTGGGCCTGAGCCACAGAAGAGGCAGGACCTCAGAATCATCACTGCCTTGCTGAGGGAGGGAGTCCTAAGCATGCTGACTTTCCTGAATACTACTGTTTTCAGAACTGCATAGGAGTATGACAGGACACATCAGCATTATACTTACAGTTTCTTAAACCAGTAAGAAGCGCTAATCTCCCCTGTGGTCCTCAACATCTAGCTTCTCACATGCCCTCATATTTCCCTAGAGGTGTTTTGAAGAACAAGTTAAGTGGTTCAAACCTAATAGGAAAAGTCACTCTGTTTCCATACTGGCTCCTAGCCTGCAGCATGCCCACAGCAAATTACTTCTGCCTTTAAGATTTCACAGGAGTCCCAGCAGCTATCCCAAAGCTTCTTCCTGCTTTCCAGATCTGATGCACAAAGTACAGGCACTGCCCTGGTTGTGAGTGCTGCCTGCAGGAGCTGGGTGCTTGGCATGCTGCAAGCATACTCCTGGAAGCTAGTGCGTGCTACATGTCTACAATATTCATTCCTGTTCTTTATACTCCGTGGGATCTGTTTTGGCTGGTGAAACAGTAACAGTAAAGAACATTTTCTATTGTCTTATTTGCAGGAAGCTGCAGGAACAAGGAAAACAAGATGACTGGAATCTCCTCCTAAATAAACTCCTCCCACCTATCGCCTAAGAAAGCATCGGGCAAACATAACCACACAAGCAGTCAGAAACACTACAGAGGTAAAGCAGACTACCCACAGCCAGCCTACTTTCTTGCTGTTAAAAGGCAATACAAAACATTTTTAACCCTCCACATCTCCCTGAAAGGCCTGTTGACACACACAGAAAAGCATTAGCTCACACATCCACTCTGTTTATGGTAAAATATTTAAGATGTAACCTGATTTGGTTACTTCATTTTACAACAGCGGTGTTCAGAAGTGAGAAGTCCATCAAACCACTGCTCAGGAACTTTCAGGAAGAGCCAGATGGTCCTGCTAGAAGAGCAGTACTAGAAAAATGATCACTTTCTAAGGAATATTCCTCCTCACATACCAGACTGGTGGACTGCCTGCTCCTTGCTGTCTATTAGGCACTCTCAGGCTGCACCAATTTTGTTTCAGCCGTAAGCATGCGGCAACACATTGTACACAGCAGTGAGAGGTGGTGGATTTCGAGGAAGGATAAACTGCTCTTTCAGCAGAGGTAAGATATGGCAGCATACTGAAGCATGCAGGTTAGTCACAGACAACAGGGAGATCACAGAGCAAACAGGTAAAAGGCACAGGGGACAGAAAGGACTTCCTGAAGACCAAAGTACTGAGCAGAGTCTTGTCACTAAGAAAATTATTCAGTTGGCTAGAAGAAAAGGACTTGCATACAAAGGCAAATCAGGAATAACAAGAACTTTAATTTCTATTCTGTCTGCCAAAATTGAGTTTTCTCTACCTAGATATGTATTTTTGCCCACATAAAATCCATGGAAAATCTAGGCAGATACATCACCAAGCTGAGGCCAACACATGGCCATGTGACTTCTACAGAAATGCTCAATGATCACATCAGAAAATGTGACTCCTTCTTCATTTATGAACAGCAGCTGGAAGAAAAGGACTGCTTCCTTCAGCCTAGGAAACATAACCTCCACCAACAATATAACCACATGAACACCATTTCAGTTCATAAGAACAAACTCTCTATGAAAGGCCTCTTGCATCATTCAGAAAGATTTTAGCCACTTAGATTCTCCCTGGCTATTCTCATTTAATATTAATAACTAACAATTACTATTGTTTCTTGCTGATGCAAATTACATGCAAGAACATTCCACCTATAAAGTCTGTGAAAGCCAGGCTACTGCTCAACTACCCACCTACCCTGTGCATGGCATGTTTTCACCACCATTTACTGCTTCAGGTGTTACTGAACTTCTGCTACTCTTAAAGTGCACAAGACCTAGGTCAGCATGACTCTGAAAAAAGTGCAAGCATATTGCCTTACCTCACTGCTAAACAGATGCTACACACAGATTACCACTGCAACACTCTCCTGCCAATCAAATGCCTAGTGAGGCACCTTTGGGCACTGTATTTTCAAGAAAGTCCAAAGTGAATTATTACTCTGAATGACCTGAAAGCCAGAATGTTGTGTCACACTTCATTCACAGGCATGACAGTCAGTAACAGTGTCCAGCTGGGGTGGCAGAAAGGCATGGGGCAGAAAGTGAAGGCAAATACTCAAGAGGCTCCTCTTGAAAAAAAGAGGCCAGTAAAAGAACAAACTGATAACTCAAAATAGCAATTCAGAAATAAGTTCATTACAAAATGTGTATTTCACAGCATATAAGCCAGCAAGTGCTTGGTAGCTCTTCACTAACAGAAGGAAATGATGGGGAAAAAGTTGTATCCCCTCTGATCAGCAGAAGTGAGCCTCAGGGCAGCAACACCCTGACGGATGAAAGATGCCTCTGCAACACCAGACCGTCCTGCATAATGACTGATAAATTTTAGTGACAAAAGATTATCAAGTACTACCTCCCATCCATCAATCCACTTGCTCACCTGCTCCATAGCCACAATGGAATCACAGCAAGAACACAACACACATGTCTGGCCTCCACAGCCTCCTGCTGAATCAATGTGCAGATGTGCAGCCCCGTAAAAGCACTAAACATCCTCAAGTGCCAGATGACATCAAGAAAGCTCCAGGCATCCACCACTTCACACCACCTACACTACATGCAGATCTTCAGCCAGCATCACAAGAAGTCCATCAACACCAGCAGTATATATACTGAGTCCAGGCACTCAGTAGGCAGAAACAATTAACAGCCTCCCCAAAAACCTTGGTGTACATCCAAACCCACCAGCAAGTATCAGCAGGCACATCACTGCAATTCACTGCCAAGTGATTTTCAAGAAGCCATGGGCAAGAGCAAGGTCCTGATTACAGCTATTGTTGGTTCATTTGAAAGATGGTAAAACAGTGGCCCCAAAAAACTGGCAGTCCCCACTTCAGTCACTGCTTCAAAACAGATTCATATGTATAATACAGTTAAAATCTGTATCAAGCAATCAGATGAAAGAACACAAGTTTATGACAAAACTGCTAAGACAATTCTCACATTAGCAGTAACATCATTTCCCCAAAAAGTTCTCATTCAAGCTTCTCTGATGACAGCCAGTCTGCTGTGCTGTAAATATGATATGATAGTAAGCATAAAATATGTTTATTTGTTGCAGCTGGCTGCAAAAGTCACCATGGATTCAATTCTGAACTGTCACAGTATGTTGTATAGCCATCAACATGACACTGAGGAGTTCACAATGATGCTACTGTAATGCTCTATTTTAAATATATTTTCACACTGACTGAATTTATGTAATATTCTAAAAAAATAAAAATTCTATTTTTATATATGAGCAATATGCACACAATAATATATTACATTTTCAAATTAATTTCTAATGTAAAGTTTTTAAAGCTACTAAAGCTTTGTCAGACAACTCAATTAAAATATCCAACAACAGACTTCAGCTATTGGAGTGATCATTTGCAAGCATAGTTTAAATTGTCTTTGGAACTCTCTTACATATATTAGACATCAAAATTAAAATATAAAATCATCTGCAATTCATTAAGTATATCTTTTAAGCCATTATTTTGAAATTTCTACTCCCAGTGTCTCTGAGGCCATACCTAAACTGGAAAATAAATCTGCATTTCCAATTAATAAATGAACATGGATTTCCGTCTTTAAGGGAGCAAGTCCAATTGATCTTGCTATATCCACACCTGTGTTCACACTCTCATCATTTTTTTTCATTTGAACATTCTAGCACATTCATTTTACTCTTGCTCAAATTTCAGAATATTTTTTAAATATTAAATCAGAGGAAAGATTAAAAGTATCTTCCATACCAAAAGTCACACATGATCGTTTTTATTCTAACAGATGGGGTAAACATCTTCAGGCCACATCTGATATCCATAATGAAACACTAACAGCACGACAGGGCAACCTGCTTTGCATGAAAAGGTTTCTGGCTACAAGGAAATGACTTCCAAGATATGGCAACATTCATCAAAATATGTCCCACAATTTTAGTTAAAAAAAAAGGCAACAAAATAAAAAACCTC